AAAAAAATACCATCTATTTTTTCTATTAATTTCTCTTGTTGTCAGATCAAGGCAAATTCTTCGGTTATGCCTGTATACTGAGTTTGTATGTACCAAGTTTTCAGATAATGCTCACAACTCATGTATATCAATGACAGGAATGCTCAAGTATAGAAAGAAGATGCATTTCATCTTGTCCCTTTACAGAGCCAACTTATCAATCATCCTTCAGTTTTTGATTTCACTCAAGGAAGTGAAGGGTGATTCATGTCAAGCATTTGGGCTAGCTGTTTGCCAAAGTCATCTCAGAAATTGACACCCTGTCACTGCTAACCTAGAGACGTGTAGTAAATTCAATTCCTCTGTTGTTTCCTGTGAATAGTTTTTGACAAGACTTGTTTTGACTATTGCTCAGGAGAAAAGATTGATTTCCTTCACTACCAAGACCTATTTTGTTCATTTTTAATATAGCCTTATACATTCAAAAAGCTCACAGAGGTGCAGAAACTATAAATCATAGGTTTTACTCTCCAGAACAGGTAAAAGAGTAAGGGATTTTTCTCTCTATTGGCAGCAAATAACTTTATTAGAAAGATTATTATATTCTATGGATTCTAAATGGATTTCATTTATTAAAATATAATAGGAAGCATTATTTCAAATAATTATTGCAGGTTGAACTTGACTAGCTGGGACAGTTAATTTGATGAATGACATTCCGTATAATGTTCATACCAGCAGATTTTCATTGGAAAACTCTTGGTAATAAATGATGCAGGAAACATTAATAATATAATGTTTTTGCTATTGTAACCGGAGAACAATGAACTCTTAGCAATTTAGCTACGGACAATGGCTTTATCCCAGTTCTATTCATTTTCTGTTGCAGCCCAACAAACATTTCAGATAACTGTTTCACTTTTGTTTTTTAATTACTTTTTAAGTGGCAATAGCAACTTTTGGCTGAAATGAAGAACAGCCCAAAGAGTGATGGTCCCATGATTTCTGTTCCATAGAATAAAATCAAGTCATTAGATTCAGACCTGACCTAAATGTATGTCTCTAATCCTAACTTTGGTCAACGTATACCCAGATTCCAGTAATCACAATAAATACAAAATATCTAAGAAATCTAAAAAAATGTTTAAATTTGCTTTACTTAAACACTTGCTGAAAATAAAATCGTTGGAGGACAGCGGAAATAGTTTTTAATTTGTATTATCGTAGGTCAGTGTTTCCCGAACTTGACAATTTTAAGGCATGAGGACTTCAACTCCCAGAATTCCACAGCCAGCAACGCTGGCTGTGGAATTCTGGGAGTTGAAGTCCACATGCCTTAAAATTGTCAAGTTTGGGAAACACTGTCATAGGTGATATTAAGCAAATTCCAAGAAATTAGAGTTTTTATTGCATCATAATATAATAATTACAGTTTTATGTATTTTTATTGTCATATTCTTTACCTCAAAGGCCATAATAAAACTTTTAATTTGATTGTGTCATAAATCTTTTAGTACCAAAAGAATGTTTCATTGGGTCATGCGTTTGGACAGTACCCAATACTTTCATTAATTGCACTTAGATATCATAATGTTTTTACTAAGGGTTTTAACTAAGTTTGGCAATTGTTTCTTGTGGTCCTAACTTTCTTATTTGTTACCTGGTTAAAACTGAGATTTCCAGTGGGGACGTGAGTGGTTATTTGTCTTAATTGGTTTCTTATTATATAAGATAGTTTCAGAAGCTATAATAAGCATCCAGTGATACACAAGATGCTTCTGTATAACTTCAAGGGGTATGTAGCACCATCCAATAGTAAGATGTGTGATCTGATTCTTGTATTTACGATTTGTATTTGTATCACAAGGATAATGTGCAAACCTGTCTTAAGATATTAAAAGTAAAAGCAATAAAAACAGGTTTCTGTAATGCATAAAGCTACCTATAACGTAGTAGTGATATCAAGAAAAGAATACCATATTTTATTGTGATAGAAAAACAGATTTCTGATAGTCTATAAATATGTGACATTTAGGAAAAGTTTTGATATGCATCTGCTGTGGATCTTGGAATTTTTTTAGACTCTCTGCTTAATTTTCCAACATCCTGGAAACTATAGTGTTTGAAACTTCTAAATTGCAGATATCTTACAGCTGATATAGGTAGAAGTAGAAGAAGAAATAAATGTGATGTGCCACAAAGAAACTAGAAATTTCTAACATCGTCAAGGCAACCTTATTTACCAATACCACAGACCTATTTTGTGAGGATAAGCTTGATATATAATTAGCTTAAAGATTCAAAATAACATAAGATTTTATTTGATATAGCTCTGCTAAGAAATACTTTAAAAATTATAAAATACTCTCTCCTCCATCCAAAATAATATTACCATCTTAAAACTAAATTACACTTACCTTAGACCAGAGGTAGGCAACCTTGGCTCTTTTATGACTCGTGGACTTCAACTCCCAGAATTCCTGAGCCAGCTGGCTCAGGAATTCTGGGAATTGAAGTCCACGAATCATAAAAGAGCCAAGGTTGCCTACCCCTGCCTTAGACAATAGTATACAAATAATTCTTTAAAAAAATGACTATGTTTAAAAGGCAGCTTCTCTAAGTGCTACAAGTGTAATAAAAGCCCTTACTAATTTTGGTAGAACTTATTCTGCCAATTGCCATAAGAAAAGTACAAGTAAATTTCCTAGAAATTGAAGGATTCCTTTAAATGCAACTTTTAAATGTTTATACATCTCTAACTTTTAAATGTTTATACATCTCTAGATTCGTATTTCTTTATGATCATAAAGCCTTAGATATTGTTTTAGTTGAATAGTATCTGATGTTATTGAGAAGTAATTATTTAGATTAAACAGATATGTTTGCAAACTTATGCAAATATTATTTAATGTTTAATAAATGTAGCACTTACTGTATAAACATGTTGAGAAAATTATTGAATCATTAACATTTGAAATATTTAAAATACCTTTTCAAAACATACGCATATGTTTGCATGTGCCACAGAAATTTAATTTTGGCCCTAAATGTAAATAAAAAAGCGCATTATTTTTTTTTCTAAATGCTTCTGAAAATCATTTCTTTAATTTATAATTTTTAGAGATATTTGGCAGCAGCATTATATTCATTATCTTATTTTGCCTCAGCATTAAATCTTTATACACTAGAAATAATACAATTAAGCAATTTATCATACTTTAACAAAATTCTAATAGTTTATATGGGGTAAGTGATATTGTAACAATTTAACAAATAAAATTCTATTAGCAAGCTAAATTAATTTAGATTATATGTGTACCTTTTCAGAACATAGAGTAAAAATACTCTTTTTTAAAAAAAACCTGTAACATACCATTCTAAATATGAAACTGTATTTCTATGTTGATACTTAAATTTGTTGGATGAAAATACAAAATGTTTGCTTTAGTCACATATAAAGTATTTTGAAAACATTCCTTATGAAACTTAAGTTAGTTAAGTTGATGCTCTATTGAAGTTCAGATGATTTTCAGAAAACAAATCAAGAAGAATTATATATATTTTACTATAGAAAGTAATTTATCTTTGTGGATTATGAATTGTGATATATCGTGCTTTTTAAAAAAAATATTTTTATGATTTGTTAAAAGTCCTAAGGGGAGAGCAAAAAGAGCACAGTAATGGGAGACAGAAGCATCACTTTTCCCCTACACAATTTTTCCAAATAATTTGATCAACACTGTATCTTGTTTCCTTTTAGTGAAGACATAACAGCTAACATAACACAGCTGATATACTTTATGTGTTCCCATAGGTTTTTGTTGGGTTGTTCTTTCATTTTTTTGTGTTTTATTTCATTTTTATTACCCTTCCCACCCACCCAAGAGTCCCAAAACAACTCTTGGCAGCTTACAACATAAAAACAAACTTAATGAAAAGCATAAAATCAAAATAATTAATCAGTCAAAGACACAGTAATGCCATCAGCATAGTGATGTCCACTCTCTCGCTAAATGCCCTCTAGAAAAACCAAATTGTTCATAGGTTCTGGAAGACCAACAAGGACTAGGACTAGCCTAAATTTTTCAATGATAGTTGACCTTTATTTATTCACATTATGTATAATTTGCCCTTTATTTGCCAAGATGTTCTAGCATACACTGACATGTAATGATATTCAAAGACTATTAGGACTGTCCAGTGCTTCAGAACCCATCCCCAAAGTCTGAGTGCAGAGAATATCTGCATAGTATCTATTCACAGTGGGATCTAGGAGCTGCAGCTGACTCGCCCAGGACAATTCATCACAGGACAATTCCACGCAGGATACCTTAAGAGAGGAACAAGTGAATTGCAGTGGGCCTTGTCTTACTTTAGGTTTGAATCTTCTCAAGTTAAAAGTCCTCGAGGCTGGGGAGCTACGATTCTACTTGTCGCTCTCTTGGGTTATCCTGCATTGATTGTCTTGCAGTGAGTTGTCCTATGGCATGTCAGCCACAGCAAGTTGTCAGCCGGGGCAAGTCAGCCACGGGAAATTGCCCCATTCCAATCCATGACATCTTCATATGTGTCTTCCTGAGATCATACAACAATTGTATCCATGCTCCCGCACACTCCCAAGTGCTCTTGAGAGACTGAATCCAAGGTGCTATATAGCTCTGCTTTTTAGACAAAACCAAAGAGGCCACACCCATTGTGTTTCTTTGAATCGTTGACCTCATAGATATAAGAATTCACTTCTTATCACAAACTGCATTTCAGATTTCACTCACTTTCAGAAGCAGGAGGTCTTGTTCTGCATTTTTGAAGAAAAAAAACTTGTAGACTTCATCAAAGGCTCACTGCATACTAGTTTTTAAGTCTTAAGTTGTCTAGATTTTGCAGCCAATTCACATGTAAAGGTGTTTCATTTCTGTCTTTATTTTCTAGTGTTTCAAATAAAAACATTGTTATGTAATGTATATACTTTTAATTATGTAACATTAATATAACTATTGTCCTGGTTTACTTTTCTTTTCCAGAAATATCTCAGAGACTTCTTTGATGCAATGCTTAATTCTCCGTCATCTCCACTATATGTAAATAAAGAGGGCTTGATCCTGTCCAAACATGACATTTGTGAATTCTCTTCATTCTTTAAGAAAGGTGTATTTGACTACAGCAGCTATGGCACCGGTTAATGATTGGGAACCTCGCTTCTTATTAGAAAAATAAATTCACCTGTCTTTCTGTGTGCTGTCCAATCTCAGAAAATAAAAAAGGTGGGGAAAAGCTGGATAACTTGCATAAATATTCCTTGTCAAACCGACCTTTTCCATGTAAAACGTAGCTCATTTTCTGCCAGAGGAAACGAAAACAGTTTTGCTACGACGTGTTGGTTGAAGAAATAGCTAATGAAAACTTCTGAGGCTCTTTGGATCCCCTCAACAGCTGACGTTCCTCATACATGTTCTCAGACCCTTTGTTGTAGCTTTCTTTTTCTACTTGACTCTGTCCTTAGCAAGCAACTTCTTCCTGAAGAAGGTTTCTTGGAGTAAACAAATTATTCCAGATTTTTTTGTATTAGGTTAATGCACTGTTACTGTGAATTGCACTTTATCTTTTTGATCATACTACTTTCACCTTTGGTATATTAGTGGAAATTTGAACATTGACAAAATGTATATGCACAGACTTTAAAATCCTGAAGTCTTCCACACCAAGCTAAACAGAATCATTTGCTGAACAATTGAAATAAATGAGATTAAGCTTCTTTTCACCTTTTCTGATTATATAGACTGTTACTATGTGTTATGTTTCAAATAAGTTCCTGGCTGCACCATTACAAAAGGCAAGTGGGTATTATGATTTTTGAAAACAATTTTCCCCATAAATGTGTAACCATTCCTCATTAGCTGATTCTTTGTTGCAAAATATGAATTACATTTTAATGTGCTTTAAAAGTACTCAGGGCTTATTTAAGATAGGACATTTAGAAAGGCAGCTGTATTCATTTTGCAGAAATATAAATTGAAAAATGCTGTGATGTACAATAGCGACAATAATAAAAGACTGAGAAAAGCAAATCATTTTGATTCTAACTTGTTTTGAGGACTGTTATACCCATTGAAGAACACTTTCATGGAGTACAGAGCAGAGGTTAATGAAGTGTAGGTGTTAAGGAACAAGCCTCTAGTTTTATATTCAGGAGAAGTTAATCTTGATTGTATTAATTATTTTTATGCTTTATGTTAATAGACGTTTATTCCAGAGTTGTATAAACAGTAATCATAGGAGTTCTCCTCAAAGGGGTTTCAAAAATGCTGTGTTTTATAAGCTGATCTGAGTGAGTCAACAGGATGACTTCTCTTAAGACAAAGCCACTGTATTATAACAGAATAACTATTAATTTTTTGTATATGATGAAAATATTGCATTCAACAGCTTTAGGGGCACTTCTCCACACTTCCAGGAGGTACCACTTCATGCATTCTCCCCAGCCAGCACTCCTACCGTGTGCCTTCCTCAGCCCATGTAGCACCTCGGTGACACCCTGACCCACATCACCACTACCCCGTGTACCATCCTTCACCTGCACACTCCTGAGCACTCCCTGACACCCTTGCACACTCCAGATTACGCCCAAGCACCTCTCTCACACACTCGAGAACTCCCAGGCATCCTTCCTAACTAAAACCACCATCCCAAATGCTATCCTCAACTAGCATAGCAACTCTTACACACCCCTGAGGTCCCCATGCATTCTTCTTGACCACCACCTCCACAACTCTACCAATCTGTACAGAACTATACCTGTTGTGCATTTCCAGGCACACTTCCCAATCTAGGTCAGAAGTTGCTCTTGCTTCCACTGCATTTTGCCCACTCATGGTCATTCTGTTTCTCTGTTTAGATAAGGAAAAGACCCAACAGGGCACAAGCTGTCTAATTAGCTCACTAAAAATGTGTGTAAGAAATTCCCCTTCCAGAGTCAATCCCACTCCTTAATTCTACAAACCTTTTAAAATATCTTCTGAATTGGACAAATCTGAGATGATAATATTGTGAGACAGACAAGTCAGGAGAGGGGAGAGTTTATGAGAAATCTACATGACATTTCAACTGGTATTATCTTGTAAGGTTTTCATGGATCAAAATTGTATGTGTGACATAATGTTATATATGTCTTGCGACATTAAGTACACATTTTAAAGCTGATGCCCACACAAACAAGGATCTCAATACTTATCAAGATTTCCGTGGGGTCAGATAACATATTGTATCTTTCGTTTATCAACATTCAAAATTCCTTATATCAGTAACTAAGGTTAACATGACTACCCAATGATAAAACTGAACACTTGGAAAAGTAAGCCATCTTTCTTGATAGGTAGTTGTAATTGTACAAAAAGAATCTTTTTGTACATTTTTTTTTAAAGAATATAAATGAATAAACACAGATAGGCATCTACGGTGGCAATTATATCCTTGTCCTGTTTGTCTAGCCATCCATATCTCTTTGGTAGGTGCATCGGTATTGCACCAATACTTAAAAAGGGTGGATTTGTATCACAAAACTCGGGGCACCATCTGGCACATTTGACAACATACCACCACACAAATTCAGCTGGGCCTCTCCAGTGTCAATCCACTTGCACCATAGATAAGAAACCAGACTTACAATTACTTAAATAAGAGTAGGAATATGGATTTCTGATTTATTTATAAATGCTACATTCTGGCATCTGCTGTAATTCTATTAACATTTTCAAAAGTTCTGCTTAGTAACTAATTCTAGGTACTAATGGCTAGTGGTCACTCTCATTATGAAGCTACTTCATAAAAATGGGATATAAGTGCTTGCAAATATAAGCATATTATTTTGAAAGATGATGTACCTTTTACTGGATTTACTTACTGAGAGACGCTTACTCCGGTTGAGAGTCCAAGAGCCACTTCTGCTAGAAGTAGAATATTGGTGTGGAAGTGATGCTTTCCAGAAAACAAAATTTAGCTTTAGAGCTTTTATACACAAGTAGCTATTTTTTCCATGGTAAATTGAGCTTTTGTAATTTTCCAAAATAACTAATGTCTTAAGGTTGGAGCCTCACTGAGAATGTGGTTATAAAATGTGTATTAAACCATTTGAAAGAGTAAATTCTGTATATTTTTAAAAGCTTCAGCTATAAACTTTTGAACATTTTAATTAACATTTGTATTAACAAAGCAGAAGAAAAAAGCTATTTTCACCACTTTATTTGAAACAATAAAAAGCACTCTCTATGAAATTATACTGGATCTTTGCTGCTGATGCTTTTCTTTTTGTTTCTTCTTATAACCTCATAACTTTCTTCACTTCATAAACACCTTCATTTTTTCCCCAAAGAAATTTGCTGACATTTGCTAAAAATATTAGCCTCAAGCAGTCTCACTTGTAATTCACATGCAAAGAATCATCAGACTTTGAGAAATATACATTTTCTTTGCAGAGATTTTGCTATGACTTCTATTTATTTTATTACATTTAGATATCACCCAACTTCTACCGTTCCAGTTTCTTCTAGTCTCTAAATTTCTATATTTTGGTACATCTATACTGTTTGATACTAACTCCTTAACTTATGACCACATTTGAGCTCAAGATTTCTGTTGCTAAGTGCGATAGTTGCTAAGTGATTTTTGCATCATTTTACGACCTTTCTTGCCCCAGTTGTTAAATGAATCAGTGCAGTTGTTAAGTTAGTAACATGATTGTTAAGTGAATCTGGCTTCCCCATTGACTTACTTGTCAGAGGGTCACAAAAGTGAACATATGACTCCGGGACACTGCAACCATCATAAATATGAGACAGTTGCCAAATATCTGAATTTTGATCATGTGACCATGGAGGACGCTAGAACAGTTGTAAGTTTGAAAAACAGTCGTAAGTCACTTTTTTCAGTGCTATTGTAACTTCAAACAGTCACTAAATAAATTGTTCTAAGTCGAGGACTATCTTTATTTGGTATGGTTTGGTTTGGTTTGGTTTTGTATCTAACAGTGCTCACAACACTGGATAATTTGCAATTACTTTTGATCCTAATTCATTTTACTCAGGTGCCTTAATTTTAACTTTTTTCATTTACACTGATGAAAGTCTCTGCTTCTGATCAACTGCCAACTGTTCAACAGAGCAAGGGAATGGCCTGTAATTTCTATTACATTCTGATTAGCATTTCCTCTATAATTTTTGAAATTGCTGTTGCGTGGAACTTTCTGCAAGCCAAAGGCTGAATCTTGTCTCTTAATTATATTCTGCTTTGTAAAAAGGTTGTAGATTTGGATGGGTTTTTTTCTGCTATAAGATTTGAGAACCTGTTTTTGGGACACTATTATTATTTTTGCTGGTTGCCCAATCAGCCAGATGTTTAGATTGGATTTGGCATTTTTATCCACTATTACTTCCCAAGGACTTGGAATAAGCAGATGTTGTTTGATGCTATTAAAGGTGTTGTCTCAGGATGTAAGTTGTTTCAAGTAAAACTGCATTTTGTAATTGACTGATGGTGAATTTGTCAATGCCAGTGGTGTTCAAGTAGTGCTCCAGATGTTTCAGTATTGCACTCAAGGTACCTAAGAGTCCTGATGGTACAGTGGTTAGAATGCAGTATTGCAGGCTACTTCTGTGGACTGCTGGCTGCCAGCAGTTTGGCAGTTCGAGTCTCATCAGCTCAAGGTTGACTCAGCCTTCCATCCTTCTGAGGTCAGTGAAATGAGGACCCAGATTGTTGCAGGCCATATGCTGACTCTGTAAACCACTTAGGGATGTAAAGCACTATGAAGCAGTATATAAGTGCTATTGCTATTAGTATTGGTGTTATCTTTGCATTCCTTTGCCATAGTTGTTCTATTTCTCCTTATCTGGAGAAGTCGCATATTAAGTGGTTTGTCATTTTTATTCTCCCTAGGGCTGAGAGAGTGACTGGCTCAAGGTCACCCAACTGGCTTTATACCTAAAATGGGTTTAAAACTCACACTCCTGGTTTCTAGCCTGATGCCTTAATCATTACACCAAACTGGCATAATGCTGCTATTAATGCCATGCAGTATATGAAATATGGAAAAATAAACCTGCAGAGGAGACATAAATCTTATTTTATTTGCTTTCTGTCTAATCTTCTGCTATGGTACCTGCTATAATCCATAGATTTTTTTCCCCAGATGTTCATAACCAGCTATATCCCATCATTGCATAAAATAAATTTTGCCCCATTTTGCTTTCTTTCTTCACAGAATTTGAATCAAAGGCTTAATGAATATAGTTGGGTGATATTGTATTTCCATACTTAAATTTTGTACCTTGGCATCCCTGATAATAACATTCCAATTATGCCTTTTTTTTTCAAATCTCTTAATTCTCAGTATTCCAGCAGATTTTGTATATATTTCCTGTATCATTGTTTGACTGTCTTTGCCATGTATTGACGTTTACAGCATATGCATACAAATGCTTACACAAGTGTACACACATTTTTTTCTTTAATTGCTTGTTATCTTTAAATTTTTGTCATTAATTTCTATGTCCTCAATACCAAATCTCCACTTTAAATGCTGAAATCTCGATACTATCATCCCTAATTCAACCGGATAAAAAGTCTCTTTATTGTTTGAGATAAACAAGGTCAAGAAGCAAGTACAGCAGGGATTCTTCTTGTTGCTGTAGGGTAGAATAAAAGAATTTTGAAAGTTTCTCTCAACTCCCATCTTATACCAAACAAAATAAAAGACTGTGCTTCCCCCCCCCCTCACGTCTCAATGTGGGAGCTTCATTATAGCCCCAGGTGGGATGCATACAGGAAAACAGCATTGTTAGCATATAATACGAATATTGGGTTTTGAGCTAGAAATGGAAGATGAAACTTAGTTCTAGCGAGGGCCTGTACAATACTCTTAATATAGATATTTAATAACAGGATTACTTAACTAGTCTTTCATCCAGATGAGGCTTGGAAGCCTAGCACCACTTCCTGATGAGATTCCTTATTTTGCAAGGATAAGGAATACTGTTTCCTAGAAAGCTTTAATCTTTGTTGCTTCTACTATTTTGTGTTTTAATATTTGACTGTAAATTTTAATTGCATTAAAATTTTGTGTAACGTTAGTATGTTATAAGCTTCCCTAATAAAGTCTAGCTTTGAATGGTAGTGTATACATTCTCAACACTTGCTTTGCAGCTGTCTTTCGCAGTACCCTTTTCAAACTTGGAAACTGTCCTATCTGTAAACAAATCACTAGCCTACAAGGACAGATCATTTACCTAGAGTCTGTAATCCATGCTCTTCGGGTAGAAATTAGGTGTCCAGTTCAGCCCCTCTACTCTAGTAAGCCTCCGTGCTATCAGCCCCCTTTACCACAAAGATCCTGCAGGAGAAGGGCAATGTGGACAACCATGGGTTCTGGCAGGGTGAGAGCTGTGAACCATAAACACCAAGCTTTCGCTATGTCCCTGCACAACAGTTACAGTGCCCTTGCTGACCTTAATAGGGACATTAAGGAGACAGGTAAAGGTATTTGTGAAGATAACTCAAATAAGCAGGGGATTGTGGTCCGAGATGAAGAACTAGATTTCGATAGGGAGAAGTGTGAATCAGGTATTACACATCAGTCATGCAAGAACAAAAAGGCACCCAAAAAGAGAAGCTACCTTCTGGTAGGTGATTCAATTATAAGGGATGTAAATTTAGGAAAGGACACAGAGGCTTCGAAAGAGGTCAGGTGTCTTCCAGGTGCTACTGCTAGTAGGGACAAGAAGCGTATTTCTAAAAATAATCAACAATGGCAGCAAGGACTGTGATGTGGAGGCTATTGTACATCTTAGCACTAATGATCTGTCCCAAAAAGATGTACTCTCTGTGCAGAACGATTTCCAGAGCTTGGGGAAGGAACTTAGCAGAATAGACGGTAGGCTTACTTTCTCAGAGGTTTTACTAGTGTATAAGGAGCAAAACGGAAAAGGCTAGTGCATAGCACAATTCAATATGTGGCTAAAGGAGTGGTGTAAAGGGGAAGGCTTTGGATATATTAGTCACAATGTCTGTAGCTGGTCCAATGAAAAGATGTACAAAAGAGATGGTTTTCATCCATCAAAAAAAGGGACTGAGTTACTCGGTTATAAATTCACAGATTTTCTGGAGGGAAATCTAAACTAAACAGCGGGGACAGGAAGTTAATTGATACAGAACAATCCTGTCCCCGGCAATCTAAAAATTATAGGGCTATCAGTGCATGTAGCATAGATGTGTGTGTGGACAAGAATACCAACCTTGCTATCAAGCAAAATGTAGCCTCTAACAGCGAGTGCCACACGAAGTGCACTAATCAAATACTTGGTAAGACAATAGGGGAACTCCGGCACCACACAGGTTATGTAGAAAGGAAACACAGGGCCACTCACAAAGGACTCAAATGTTTATACACCAATCCACAGAGTATGAACAGCAAACAGAGTGAACTAGAAATTCAGGTTAATGAGGGCAGATACGATATTGTTGCCATTACGGAAACATGGTGGGATGAAAGCCACACATGGAACACACAGCTAAAGGGATTTAAGTTATTTAAAAGAAACAGACCAAATAAAAGAGGAGGTGGAGTTGCTCTCTATATAAGAAATAACTACATCTCTACAGAAATAGAGCACAACAATGATAAAAACTCTTGAATGCATTTGGGTCAATATAAAAGGGGGGGGAAATGACATTGCCATAGGTGTATACTACAGACCACCCAACCAAACAGAGGAAATAGATGAACTTTTTGCTAGTCAGCTAACTAAGATATGTAGGAAGCACATCACAATAGTAATGGGGGACTTTAACTACCCTGACATCAACTGGAAGACAAACTCCACACCAAGTGCAAGATCAAACAGGTTCCTGGCAAACCTAGCAGACAACTTTGTCTCTCAAAAAGTAGAGAAGGGAACTAGGGGATTAGCCATTTTGGATCTAATTCTCACTAACAGAGATGAAATGATAGAAGGTGTTGAAGCCATAGGAACCCTGGGAGGAAGTGATCATGCAATATTAGAATTCATCATTATGGAAGCACAAGCAATAGAACACAGTCAAACTAGAGTCTTGGACTTCAAGAGAGCTAATTTCAATAAACTTAGAGAGGGCTTGGGAAGGATTCCATGGATGAGAATCCTCAAGGGGAAAACAACTCAAGAAGCTTGGGAAATTTTGAAAAATGAGATAATAAAAGCACAGTCTAGCACAATACCAACAAAGAGGAAAAACAACAGCTCTC